GGAGTCCCACATTGACTGGGCACGCTCAAGCCTACTGGTTTATAAGAGGAGGTAATCCTCCCATTCAACAAGGCTTTATTGGGTGAAGAGTCAGGCGCACCTCAAATTCTATCATGATATCAGAGCCCAGGTTCAGTTGAGCTGAGTGCTTGACCAGCGGGTGAAGAGTTAGAGCCGACAACTACCTCCAATAACAGACATGACCCAACATTTGGGCTTGACCATGAGGGGGAGTGTTGGAGTCCCATATTGACTAGGCACGCTCAAGCGGGCGGGTGAGGAGTAGAGCGCCAACTACATACAATACAGCAGGACCAACAATGGGGCTTTGGCGTTGAAGGGGGCGTGTATATACTTTTCATCATATGCAAGCTAAATGCAAAATCAAAGGAATAGATTACATCTAATAGACTTAGGGGTGAAATCGAATCAAGTCGAGTATTTGGTAAATTGAACTTAACTCGATCTCTATAGTACCGAGTTCGAGTTTGAGTTCAAGCCTGATTGAACCTAAGAAATCAAGTTCAAACTCGAACTTGGTACTTGAAATTGGAAATCGAGTTCAAATTTAAGTTCGTATAATCGAGCTTTTTTCAAGTTTTAGTCGAGTTTTATTCAAGTTTTAATCGAGTTTAAGTTCGAACTCGATTTCAAGCTCATCTAACAGGGGTGGATTTGCAAATTTTATAACTTTTAAATTACATATGACCCCTATTACTTTACAAACTGTCAACTTAATCATCGAGCTTGGAAATACTCGCGAATATATTGAGTCGAGTTTTACTCGATTAACTACTCGAACTCGACTCGACTAATGCGGAGTCGAGTTCAAGCCAACATCAAGTATAGTTTGAGTGGCTCGTGAGTGGCTCGACTTGATTTTCACCCCTAAATAGATTACATGCTTCACCCATTTGTTCAGGATTTAAACCATTACATGCAAACCCAACTATTCTTATTCCTTTCATTTTCACTCCCAATAAATTTTTTAAAAACTAATAGATCCCCGTGCATAAAAATAAAAATCACAAAGAATATGTAATAAATATATTAGAATTAAAAACGGGGTTTTACAAAAACAAAATCCAAACTTACCATGGAGACCGGCTATTCCGTTCTCAAAATCTCAAATATTTATAAAGATAAAATTTAAATAAATAGAAATAGAAATAGAAAATCTGAAATTTTAAAAAAAATGAGTGGGGGCCGTGGTCCCCACTTGTCATTCATTAAATCCGCCCCTGGTCGTCAGTTCCAAGGCATTATGTTTTGTATATATATGTTAATGTATATATTTTGTATATACATTTTATCTTATCAATAGAAGAAAGTGTTTTTATTTCACATGTGGTTTATTGCTTCATTTATATATATGTATTACATGTGAAATGTCTGGATGATACAAATCTTTAGAAGATCAAAATCATCAAAGTATTCCCTACATAGGTAATATTAATTGGGCAATAATATTACATAGTAGGCATGCTGAATGCCTCCATAGAATATCATGTGATGGTATTAGTGTGGGTGATTATAAAAGTTATATCACTAGGGCATTAGCATAAATACGCGGTTAGTGAACTATTTATCGAATATGGCCATTTATGATTAATCACATGGACATTTAAAATGTAGTCAATGATTTATCATAAGATCGTACTAGTGTATTATTAATCCTTAGACCTGAGATATCACGGTTGGATTCTGCATAAACACATATGGTTCATATGGTGTATAAACACGAGGCTAATCATGCCATGTGTTAATAAGCTGATTTGGCCATGTGTTGTTTATGTGTGAGGACAAGTGATAGTTAAGATGGGATCTGTTGACTTGGTATAGATTGATATTAAGTTCCTAGACAAATGTCAAGATACATTGGAAAAGGGAAATCTTCGGCCGGGGTATATAAAATGTTACATGAAAGGTTGTTTCATGGTGACACATTCCATATGTATTGAATTAAAATTAAGATAAGGATTTTGACATACCATGAATCCATTCTTAATAGGGATTAGACAATGGAAGGATTTGATTATACAATGTGTATGATTGTAACAGGTTTGTTGGAGTATATCTTCATTGTGACTTAGGGGTTATGGAGCATTGCTAGATGCTTACCATAATCAGTGGGAGTTTTGTTCATAAAGAGTTATGACAAAACATATCGAAATAGACTATGATATTGGGCCCACGGCTAGGCCACAGTGAACCTAAGAGGTCACACATAAAAACTAAGGAAAATGGAGAAATAGCCAAAGAGAGTTGATTATCCAAGGTTGGCTAGCACCTACCAAGGGTAATAAAGTTATTTATATTAATCATTTTCTTTATATTAAATTGGATTTTATAAGGGGTTGTAATTGTAAACAATTAAGGGTTAAATTGTTATGTAAACAATTTAAGAGTTAAATTATTAATTTTGATTAAATGTTAATCCAATTATTAATTGTGATTAAATGTTAATCCAATGTTATAATTTGAAGAAGTTTAACAACTTCATAACAATTATGGAATTGTTTAAGGAAGTCCAAAACAATTATTGAATTGTTTACAAGGATTCCTATATAAAGAAAATGATATATCAATTTTTGTGTAGAGATCAAAATCTCTAAGAACCCTAAATCTCTCTCATGGTCAAATTTCTTCTTCCCCTGGTGTGGATACTCTTTTGCTTAATTTCTCTAGAAATTAAGAGTCTCCAAGGTTGCTAAGGGCTTAAGGTAACATGTTCTACCTTACTTATTTCAATTTGATTGATATTTTTTTTTTTTTTTTAAACTATGACTATACTTGTTATAGTATGATATGTTTGATTCTCCATTCATCCATCTTTCAGGGTGCTTGATCGGCGGTTGAGGAGTTAGAGCCGACAACTACCTCCAATAACATGCATGACCCAACATATGGGCTTGGCCGTGAGGGGGAGTGTTGGAGTCCCACACCGGCTAGGCACACTCAAGCCTACTGGTTTATAAGAGGGGGTAATCCTCCTATTCAACAAGGCCTTATTGGGTGAGGAGTCAAGCCCACCTCAAATTCTATCATGGTATCAAAGCCCAGGTTCAGTTGACCTCAGTGCTTGACTAACGGGTGAGGAGTTAGAGCTGACAACTATCTCCAATAACAGGCATGACCCAACATTTGGGCTTGACCATGAGAGGGAGTGTTGGAGTCCCACACCGATTAGGCACGCTCAAGCCTACTGGTTTATAAGAGGGGGTAATCCTCCCCTTCAACAAGGTCTTATTGGGTAAGGAGTCAAGCCCATCTCAAATTCTATCATGGTATCAGAGCCTAGGTTCAGTTGAGTTGAGTGCTTGACTAGCGGGTGAGGAGTTAGAGTCGACAACTACCTCCAATAACAGGCATGACCCAACATTTGGGCTTGACTGTGAGGGGGAGTATTGGAGTCCCACACCGATTAGGCACGCTCAAGCCTACTGGTTTATAAGAGGGGGTAGTCCTCCCATTCAACAAGGCCTTATTGGGTGAGGAGTCAGACTCACCTCAAATTCTGTCAGTTCAAAACCGATTGTATGAGGTTGGCGGGGTTGCTTCAGCCGCTGCCAATAGCTACTCAAATGTGGACCGATTTTTCGATGGACTTTATTGAGGGCTTACCATCTTTTATTGGATATACTGTCATCATGGTAATTGTCAATTGATTGATGAAGTATGCTCACTTCATGGCCTTGAAACATCTGTTTACCGTCGTGACTATCACCAAGGCATTTTTCGCCAACGTGGTTCACCTAGCGACCGTGAAAAGGTGTTTCTCAGCTCTTTTTAGAGAACATTGTTCTATCTGCAGGGAACCAAATTGTGTATGAGCTCGAGTTGCTACCCACAATCCAACGGTTAAACCGAAGTTGTCAATCAAACCTTGGAGCAGTATTTACGATGTTTTGTAAGTGACTAGCTGCGAAAATGGCTCGAATGGATTCCTTAGGCCGAGTTTAGCTACGACATGTCTACTCACTCCTCCACCAAGATGACACCCTTCGAAGTTGTTTATGGTATTCTGCCTCCAAGTCTACTAGCTTATGCACTGGACACTTCTCACGTCCAAGCCGTAGATGAATACCTGTGTGACCGAGATGCCATTCTACGTGAGCTGCGTCACAACCTTTTGCTGGCTCGAGATCGAATGAAATGTCAAGCATACCAACATCGACATGAGGTCTCGTTCGTTGTGGGAGATTACGTGTGTTTGGGCAAAATCTATCAAAACCCAAAACTTTTACATGAAAACCCTATTGCCCTATTACCTCCCTCAATTAGATAACACTAATTGTTGAAAGGTTAGTGTTAGGATTGAAAGCAGTAATTTTATTTATTGCGCATTTTAGACATATGGGTTAAGAAGTTTTGGTTGGAACTAGGATCCTCTCATAAAGTCGTATTAAATTGGTTCATTATATTGTAACTTTAGTTTTGAAATATAGCTATATATACAAGGGAGGAATATAAAGACAAACCCTAATGCGAGAGGAAGTCGTAGAATTTTTCTACAAAGCTTTGGGTTTTTTCCCAAACCTTGGGGAGGTCTTGTGAATTGCCTAAAAATATATAGAGTAATAAATAATAGTCAGTAGTACTCATTAAGAAAATTTAAGAACTTTCTATAAATTAATGGGCATTTTACATGCATTAACAATGTTACAATTAATTTATAATAGTCATAATCAAACAATCACATTACAAATCAATGATGAGGAAAAAATTAAACATTAATTTGTCGTAAATCATACGTTGATAGTAAGACTTTTCCCAACTGGTTTGGCGAACTGGGGACGCAAATATTTGTCAATATTCATGTGCTGCAGGCCAATAAATTTATTGGCTGGCTTCTTTGAAATTAACTTCACGCGTTGTGACCGATCGATCGCTTGGAAATCTCATCCATTAAGCCATCAAACTTTGCTCAACTTCTTCACGCTTTATCACTTGTTCAAAATATCACCACCAATTCTAAATATATCATTCGTTACTCAGTCATGGCGCACTATGATCACCAACAAGCTCCTGGTAAGTCATCCAATTTTTACAGCTAGATTTGTTTTCTTAGGTTCAATTTCCTATTTCTATCAATCCCATCATCACTTTCTGATCCAAACGTCCTGATTGATTGATTTATTAATTTTTAATATTTGAATAAGCTGATTAATTTTCTTTAGTAAAAGTTAATTCTGAGATGTATGAGTTTAGTTTTTGTCTTTTAACAGTATGTAATTGAGGTTCGGATTTTAAGTTTGCATTTGAGAATTTTTTGTTAAATCTATATATCATATAAAGGGGCTAATGATGGTATGATTTGATTATTGGGTTTCAGTGGTATATCCTCCACCACCACACTCTTATCCACCGCCACAGCCGGCTGAGGGTCCATATGTGACTGCACCACCCCCTATTGGTTATCCCACCAAGGAGGATGCTGGATACACCCAACATCACCATCAGCCAGTTGAAACTAGAAGCAGGGGTGATGACTTTTGGAAAGGATGGTAAGTATTTACCTACTCATCCCTTTTCTATCTTAGGTAAAATATTTTATATATAAACTTTTATACAAATTGACATGTTAAAAAATGGTTAGATGACTTTAAATAAAAAATAAAAAAATAAATTAGAAGAAATTATATATCAAATATGTAGGGTTGCTCTACCAGTTTGTAGAAAATATTTGTATCAATTATTTACATATATACGTGGTCTTACTGGTAGATCAATGTTGTAAGTAAGAAGAAGTAACCGCAATTTTGAAGGATTTTTAAAAATTAAAACCACCTGAGTTTATTTATTTGTTTTTAATATCCTAGATAACCAAAGTTTGATAGACATATTAGAACTAAAATATTAAAAAGATAATTAATATAATCGTGTCGCACACATTTTATAAAGACATGGTAAAAGAAGTTTTTGCCCTCTTGGCGTCACTCGACAAATTCAACGATCATGTCATCAAGCAGGTCAAACACCCTTATTTAGTGGTGGGAAAAATGATGTTAGAAAGTGCTATTTTGGTTTATTTATGTGAAAATATGAGGAATTCAAAAATGTTTTGAGGTGGGTTAAAATTCAAAAACTCCTCATCAATTAACTTAGGGCTACTTCCAAATCTTATAACTTTAATTTCAATTAGTAAGTAAGAGCTCAATAGTATGATAGTCCAATAAGCCCATTTAATGTAACTTAGATTTTTTTTTTCATTTTCTTTTTTATTAATCATAAATAAATTAATGGGATATATATAATATCTTTCAATAGATGGCTTTAAAAAATTTGAACATTTCACCTAAGTTAAGTTGAATCTAAAGATTTATGCAAGAAATTAATATAACTCTCATTATAAGTAAATTTCTTTCGGATTTCATGTGGGCAGATATGCACTTAATTACTTTCATATATATATTTTTTGTTTTACAGTTTTGCTGCCTTGTGTTGCTGCTGTGTCTTGGACGTGTGCTGTTGCTGAGACAAAGAAAGAGATTAGGGTACACTATTGTTATTAATTATGCGATTTCATAATGTTAAATGTCCTGAAGAATAGTTGACTTGGTATTATAGTAATATAACAGTTCTTAAAGGGTTGAATTTTATTTTATTTTATTATTATTATAGACAATCCAATTTTCTGATTGTGTTATTGATATTGCCTTTGTATTTCAGAACAATTATACATGTTACCTTTGGCCCCCAAACGAAATTTCTTAAGTGATCCATGCATATTTCATAAACCAAATGAGGACTATGTAAACTCATTAATGAGAACAACTACATAATTGTAACATTGAAATAAATAATAAAAATCTAGACTAAAACTCCCGTTAAATAAGCAAAAATAACCCCATACATTTGAGTTTGGTTATTATTACAAGAATAAGATTTGAAAATTAACAAAAACACCTCATACGCTTGTTAATTTAGCTAAACACCTCTTACAATAAAACATTAAAAATGAACAAAAATACCCCCACCCACCTATTAAATGCCAACAGTCGGCCACCACCGTCGGAGGGTGGCCGGAAGACGTCGAAATGGCACACGATCAGCTGGATCTGGCCGATCATGTGTCGATTTGGCCAAAAAAGGCTAGACCGGTGCACTACTGGCCAGATCTAGTCGGTAGTATGCCATTACGACATATTCTAGCCACCTTCCGACGGTGATGGCCAAAATCTAGCAAATGTGCGTGGGTGGGGGTGTTTTTGTCAATTTATAAACTTTTATTGTTGGGGATGTTTAGTTAAATTAATAAACCCAGGGGGTTAAAAGAATCTAAATATTTTGAGTTGAATAGAATATGATTGAATTTTGAGAATATTGAAATAAATATGTATTTTGGGTAGGATAGGATATAATAAAGAAACAAACGCAGTCCATGTAAAACCTCTCCCTAGTCGAGTATTTCCTAAGTATCCCTTGGTCATTGAGAACCTAGAAAACACACGCCTAGAAAAGAAGTTTATTTTAAAACCCTATTTAAAGAATAAACCTGTAGTTTAAAAACAATTTTTTTTTTTTTAATCTCTAAACTATAATAAGTTCATTATACAAGTCAAAATAATATATTTTCCTTTCTTGGAGTAAGTTATGAAATCCATAGTAATAATTACTAGAACATACACACTCTTACAAACTTTACTAGCAATTTGATTTCCTTTATTAACACAAACATATTTACTCCATTATAGAACATGGACATATTTACTACATTATGAAATATAAACATAATTACTACACTAAATACTAGCAAAATCATTCAATAGTAATCATTAAAACATCCCTTCATGCTCATAGCATCCCTTGAAATCCTTTCCTAGCTTTATGCCTTAATCCTTACCTGCAAAACATTTTAAAACATTTCGTGGGGTGAGCGCTAATCGCTCAGTAAGGGGATATGACTATTCTAACTTTCATGGATTTCTCACACATACAAAACGTTTATAAATTCACAACATATTATTCATTGTCAATGTCATAAATCATAGTCATGCTATTCACATTGACTTTCTTATACACATAAGTCATAGTAAATTTAAAACATCCTAAAACACTAAACATGTATGACTCATGCAACATTCACAAACATGACATGCCTATTTCTTTTATCTAGGTATTTGACATTTCGTTTATCTTTACGAACCAATCAGATTCATTTGAACCATTACCTTGTTCTTGATTACCACCTCAAAGGACTCATGGTTTTCATAAAATTTCCATTACGCTGATCTTGGTTTCACACCTCAAGAGACTCATGGAATTCATATACCATTACTCTGGTTTTAGCCTTACGCCTCAAGAGACTTATGGAACTCATATACCATTACTCTAGTCTTGGCCGTACGCCTCAAGAGACTCATGGAACTCATATACCATTACTCTGATCATGGCCTTACACTTCAAGAGACTCATGGAAACCTTTCTTTAACATTTCATAAATCCTCCATAAGTCAACTAAACTAGGCTATATATGTTATCATTTAGAATGCATTCATAAGGGATAACATCTCCCTTTAACATACATAAACATTACATATGCATTCATCATACATGTCATTTATAGCTAACTTATGGACACACTCATTCATAACGTTCATTTATCTAGCATATACCCATGACCACTTTCATAAATCTTTAGTCAATTGAGCGAAATTCCTTGTCATGAATATTTTCTTAATATTTCTCATTTTCTTAATTCGCTTAAAATTTCATGATACATAAGGAATTTCACTATGTGTCTTTTACCATTCTTGTTCATGTTAGGCTATAGGATTTCTTTAGTGCTTTAACCGAATTTCCAAAGAAATTCCGAATTTTTTTATTTGGAAGGTGGATGCCGCATTCTTTTGCATGTCCATTATTCAATTATCACTCAAGCATTTCCCTAACACAACCAAGTCATAAAAGTCACATAAAACCCTCCCTTTCATATTCAAACAAGTGCCAACCATCGTCCAACTACAAATCTCTTAAGTGGCAATATCCTCCTTCTTTTCCAACACAAACAACCAACACCAATTTAACAATACATAAACAAACCATAACTTTATACATCAAATTAATATAACAAAAATTAAGGTTCACTAACCCTAGGTGTTGATGACATAGTTTAAAGGGAGGTTTTCCCCTTACCTTGGCAATCAAAACTCAAAAGAAACACTCTTCCTTAGCTCCAAATAAACACCTTCACCTATAACAAGCATTAACACTCATGAAATTGCTTTAATACATTCAAACTCATCAAGCTAGGGTTTTAGGGATTACCTTAACCCTTCAAACTGAATCTCCTTAAGGTGTATCTTGATCTCCTTCAAGAAATTGCTTGGAACTCTAAGAAAATTTGAGAAGAAAATGCTTGGATTAGTGGCTTTTATGGTGGATTTGAGAGAGGAAGAAGAAGATGATGCATTTGGGGTGTACAAGGCCGACTCCTCTCTCTTAAAACCTTATAGATATTTATGTTATTACTACTCTATTGTGATTGGTCATTAAAAGTTAGATATAAGGGTCATTTAGCATAAATGTTTCATATAAGGGTGTTTTGGTCATTTCTACCACAACATAATGATTCTCACTCATGTAATGCCATTTGACTTCTTTTAAACACTTGGTAATTAAGCAATCCTATTAGGTAAATGAATAATTTACCCTTGGTGCACTTTTATGGATACTTAATTCATATGAATTTTTGTGAAAAGACCATTATACCCTTGGTTACCGTTTAAGCCATTTAACCCTATCAATCTACTTTATGACCATTCTACCCTCATTTCTCTTCAATGACATCACCCCTTACACTTTATAATGGACACATCTCGAAAGGCATGCAAATTGACCATCTTACCCTTCCATTAAAAAAGAAAAAAGAAAAAAGAAAATTACCTGTAAGGGTAGAATTTCATACCTTAGGGCATCGGAATAATAACGCGGGGTTTACAGCCCAACCTCTCTCTCTCTCTCTCTCTCTATAGATTATATATATATATATATATATATGCATTAAATGGGTAAAATAAACACCTCTAGTTTTGTTAAAGAAGACATGATAATAATTCATTTCCAAAGCGTTCCCTTTTCTTACTAAATATATATACCATCAGAAGAAGGAGAAGGGAGGACAAGACAATTATTGGCTATTCTTTGGCTTTGTATACTTATATCAGTATAACATGATAAAATATATTTTCGTGATTGTTAATGACTATCCTATACATTATAGAAAATAAATTGAATGACTTTAGCTTCTTTGTAATATTTGAAATTTAATCATAATTTTTTTTTAACAAACATGTTTTATTATATTATTTTATCATGTTAAAACTTAATCATAATTTTTTTTTTTTTTTTTTTTGCTTAATTGAATTAAATTCATTTGGAATGTTATTTTCTAGTACTTTATATATCCATTATATAGCAGACATTGTATTCCAACAAAGCGCCGCAACAAACTTTTAGTAAACTTATATATACCTCGTTAGTTGTTATGGTATATTAATTAAATTTTGTACATATCATGTAAAACAATTAGTTTAATAATAAAATATGCAAAACATCACCCAGGTTATGTTTGGTTTGTGAATTGGAAATGGATGGAATGAAAGTATCAGGAATGGAAATCAATGGAATGAAAGTATTATGAGTAAGTAGAATGAGACTACTTTGTTTGCTTGTAATAAAGAATGCTGATGAAATAGAAATCAATTTCTTGCTTTTGGATGAAAACGCCCATAATTTATTTTATTTAATATAAAATTCAAAATATTTAAAAATTTTGTATTTAATAAATTTTAAAAATTAAAAATTTTCAAACCAGTCAACGTCTATCAAAGACGCCAGCTGATGACTTTTTGCTGGGATTTAGAACCACAAGAAGTGGTTTAACATCGTGAGGAGGTTACTCCACACTCTGTGGATCAAAGTGAACTACCTCAAGTAGCACAAGAGCTACGTAGGTTTGGAAGAGTATGCTATGAGCCCGAGAGATATGATTTTCTTGTGATCAACATGGTGACGTATTAGTCTGCTAAGACAATGAACCCAGAACCTACGAAGACACTATATCAAATCTAGATTCCGTTAAATGGCTTGAAGCCATGAAATCTGAGATGGACTCCATGTACTAGAACCAAGTATGGTCTCTGGTGGATCCATCTGAAGGGGTAAAACCCATAGGGTGTAAACGGGCCTTCAAGAAGAAAACTGACATAGATGGCAAGGTGCATACCTATAAGGCATGACTGGTTGCCAAACGTTTCAAACAAATTCATGGTATTGACTATGAAGAAACCTTTTTGTCGGTTGCCATGATTAAATCCATCCATATTATGCCTGCGATTGCTGCATATCATGACGATGAGATTTGGCCAATGGATGTCAATATAGCTTTTCTGAATGGAAACCTTGAAGAGGATATGTGTATGACACAACCCAATGGTTTCGTTCTTGATGGAACAAGTTGATAAGTTATGCAACTTGCGGAGGTCCATTTATGG